ACAGATGAGGCATCTGGGTATCTAGAATAGAGGGCACTAAGAATGATTGTGAAATCTGGAAATAAGGGGGGAAACAGTTATTTGATTAATCATTGCTCTTATACTTAGCTTTGTCCTAGACTGTGAGTAAAGCTATGAGTACTCTGATTTTTGAATGCCTACGCAGGGCTCATAGGGGCTCACAGGGAGTGTAAAGACAATCACAGAGCCTGCATGGGTGCAAGCAAGATCCTCAGCATATTATATGGTTGTGTAGCTTGATATTCTTATAGAACTTCTAACATGGGAATGGAGTGATGTTTCTGACTCTTCTGCCTGGGCTTGGGATCCTTTTCCTCCCACTGGGTTGCCTCATCCAACCTTGATACAAGGGTTTGTGCCTAGTCTTATTGTAACTTGTTATGCCATGTTCAACTGGTATCTCTGGGAGGCCTGGTTTTTTTTTTTTTAAGAAAACAGAGTAGGAATGCATGGGAGAGGGGACTGGGAATGGTGGAGGGAGAGGGGAAGCTACGGTCAGGATGTAATACATGAGAAAAGAATTTTTAAAAAAAATTAAAATACCAAAAGTGGGTCTGGTGTTTCATATGGGTAATCTCAACACTTGGGAAGCTGAGGCAGGAGGATTGATTGTCAAAATTTGAGAACAACCTGGGCTGCATGTGAGTTCTAGTCTAGACTGAATTGAAGAATAAGATCCTGAAAAGAAAAGGCAAGGACAAAACACACACTAAAGTCCTTTTTGAGCAATATTTATATTTATCTCGTTAACTTCTCTGCGACAAAGATATTGCACTTGGCCTCTGAAGAGCAAGGATTTATGATAGACAGAGAATGATCGTTGTAAAGGTTTAAAAGGCTGTACAAGATGAGATGATAAGCGTCAATCTACCATTACACTCCCAACAATCCGAGAGCTTTGAGTTGACAGCATCTCCCATTATAAATATGAGAGGAAAAATAAGATTCTGAGAGACTGAGTGAAACTTCTATAATAAAGTACATGATTGAAAGATAAACAACTTTGACAAAGGACAGAAAAGTAAGTTCATTCTTTGAGATTCTATGCTCAAATCTCATGTTCTCTCTCTCTCTCTCTCTCTCTCTCTCTCTCTCTCTCTCTCTCTCTCTCTCTCTCTCACACACACACACACACACACACACACACACACACACACACACACACACACACACATACACCTCAAATGGCCCAGATAGAAATACACTAGATGCATTGTTGAAGAGTAAGTTACTTGTGAAGAGAACAGCCTAACAAAACTTTCCGAAGGTATTTAGATTAAGTAGACCCTCTCCAGTACGGGGCAGTTTCTTTATCCTCAGATGAGCTGTAGAGAATCCCACTCAGCTGCTCCTGTTTTGCTTGATTTCACCAGCAAGGACTCTTTCTTGCTGAAAAAGGGAGCCCTTCCTTTGCACAGGGATCTTCTGGCAGGAACCCCCTTGTCAGGAGAGGTGGTAATTAATACTCGCCCTGGGTCCTAGGAGGGAGCTTGGTGGAAAGTGCAGGGAGGGGGTGACAAGGGACAGATTGCCCGCTATCTGATCAGGAGGCCAGCGCCCCAGTTTACTTGAAGGAACAAAGACCTGGTCTGTGCACCAATCTTTTGAGCCAATAAACCCCAGCAGGGCGTGAAGTGGTCTGAGAGTGACCGAAAGCCAAATCTGTTAGAGAAATGAGAGGCTTATAAATATCAGAGCCACGGGGTGGGGAAGTGGCTCTAATGGAATTAGGGGATATTCCTGGCAGGACTTGGCTCTGTAGTGTCCTCTCAGTTCCCAGAGGAGGCACTTAGTAAGGAGTTAAACCCCTTACTCACAACAGAGAAGTAGGGAAAGGAGGAACCAATGAACTGTAGAGCATTTATCAGTGAGTTTCCCACTTGTACCCAGGAGCATGACACCCCAACAGGAGAACAGAGCGGGGAGGCCTGGAGGAAACCCGGTACCACCGACTTGTTCCTGCATAGTTCCTTCTCCCCCTGCTCCAAATAAGGATGAAGCCCTTGGCAAAGAAACAGAAAGGAAGCCAGGCTCTAAAGTTGTTAGAAGCCACTCTGAGGTGCAGCATAGCTTTATGGGCTGTGGCAAACTGGGAGAAGAAACATGTGCATTATCATCAATACCAAACTTTCCTACCTTGACTACCATTTTAAGCTAGGTAGATATGATGTAAACATATCTTGAGCCAGGGTTCTCCTCTATAAAGTCTGGACCGTATTATTCACTCTGTAAGGAGAGCTAAAAGCACAGAGATTTACCAGCAATGGGTCCAGAAAGGGAGATACCGAGCTGCTTATCAGAAACTGGGAGAGGAGGGAACGGATCCATCAGTGAGGATGGCATAAGGAAAGCAGATGGTGTGAGAGGAGGGAACGTGTAGAAAGTCCTAAAAGAATGGCGACAAGGTCTAGGGAGTCCGGCGTCCTTGAGCTGGAAGCCTTAGAGTCAGAGTTTGAGGCTGGATCTGATAACTGTGGTAGTAATGATTAGCATCTGTTAAGAGCATGCCACAGACAAAACTTCATTCTGAGATTTTGCATTTATCACATTTAGTACTTGAGATGACATTCATAGGCAAGTATTGTGGTCTCATTTTATAGATGAGAAAATTAAGACAAGGGCGGGGGAGGGAGCTCAGTTGGCAAAGTGCTTGAGCAGCATCTATGAAGCACTGAGTTCAGTTCCCGGCCTCACACGAATCTGACATTGTGGTGCTTGTCTGTAATCCTAGAATCTAGGAGGTAGATGTATGAAGACCAGATATACAAATGATGCCTCAAAAAGAAGAAGGAGGAGGAAGAAGAAGGGAGTGGGGAGAGATTGACAGAAATTAGATTTCTCACTCAAGTTCACAATGATAGGAAATTAAGGATCTGAACTCCAGAAGTCAACTTAAACAAGATATAAGAAAAACCAACTAGTGTGTGTGCATGCGTGCCTGCGTGTGTGCATACATGTGCGCATGTGTGTGTGTGTGTTTGTGTATATGTGTGTGTGTGTTTTCATGGCATAGGGAGAGATGTATACATCCACATGAAGGAGGTGTGACTTGAGGAAAGAATGAAGGAGCTTAGGTTTAAGAAGAAAATGAGGAACTGGGTAGAAACCAGTGTGACCATCTAAGCAAGAGATGGTGGGGTTGTGGCACAGGTGGTGGAGAGGAGGACGGGGGAAGTAACTGACAGCAGACTGCATCACGTGAGCTGAGAAGGGCCAAGCCAGAAGGGCTCACCAGAGACGAAGGAACTTCGAGGGTGGATGGATTGGGAACCTTTTAAATGTTGTTCCTAAGCTTTTAATGTGAAAAGGAGCCAGTTTCTCTGTCATGGAGTTATCCCACACTCCAAAGATAATGCGAGAAAAGCAAACTCGTAACTTCTTTCTCCAGACTAAAGGGCACGCAAACCCCATAGCAGCAGAGAAGCCACACGCTGTCCCCACTTAACTCTGGTGATCTGCCTGTGCAGCTCTGACCTCCTGTAACATGATCTCACACAGGGAAGGCATGCCGTGCTGATAGACATGTATTAGGGTCAGGATTAGCATAATATGCACCAGGATTATATCCTTTAGTGTGTGCAGGTATGCCCACATTTACACACGTTACCAAAGTAGTGAAGAAAGAAAGAGAAGAAAACAATGTCAGAATAATCGTCACTGAGGTTGCATTTTGTTTGTGCCCGTTTTCCAGTGAATGTTATTCTTTTAAATTAAGCTGCAGACAATATCAAAGAACCATAGTGAGAATTTTGTTTTCTTTAAGAGAAAAAATAGACTGCACAACCATTGATAGAATGTTATGCAGTGATAAAAATATTCTTCCTTTAAAAGAAAAGTACCTTAAGTTAAATTTTGAAAAATATTCAATGGTATAAACCGTTAGAAAACAGATGCCTGCCAATACTTTTCCAAACATTCCCAGGGTCATCAAACAGGGTTAAGAGGAGACTGCAAAAGTGTGATGACTGAGTGCAATATGACATCCTGGATGCAACGCTACAACAAAACCCAGACCAAGGAAAAGAGCAAACAAATACTCTGCAATCTTTCCTGGGTCTGAGGTTTAACCACTCATGTACGTCTTTTTATACAATGACTACTTTAAATGACGTGTTGGTTTTTAATTTCACATGTCAAAATCTTGGAGATGTGTTGCCCAATGTGCTAAGTATTTCCTTCTTTCTGTAATAATTTACTGCAGAAGAGGCCCGCTGGCAATTATGCCATAGGCACAGGCAAAACAGGGAACCCAAAGCGTTTATTGAAGAGAAAACAGCATTTATGCAACTTATTAAAGTTAGGTTCTGTTTATATGCTGAGTGAATCTGAACCATAGGGGACTGCCAATATCTGGCTGCTGTTTATATTTGAAATATGGTTCAATCTAGCGCATGCGAGGAATGAGCTGCTTCGCCGATGGGCAAGTCTCCAGTCTCCAGCTGGCTCCCCTGCCAACCCGGGTTTACTGCAGGCCACTAATAAGTAGCCACTCGGAGTGGTGAACTTGGTTAAAAAGATTCCATAGGTTATGTTTTCACCTCCTTCTGTCTTCTCCCCCTACGGCACATACAACCCCAGAATAAGCAATCTAACTCTGGCAGGACTGGAAGAACCAAGTGGGGCAGACTGCCTTTGTGACGCCCAAGAAATTAAGCAAAGTCTACGCAGATCTGGGATGATTTTTATTGATGCCTAGGAAAGCCTTTCTCCTCGCTGGGCTATTTAAGAATTACCTATTGTTTGTGGAGACAGAAGAAGGGCATGGGATTTCCTGGGGGACCTGGCAGTTGCAATCAAGACTGCAGAAACCTTAGGGAATGAGGGTCTGGAAAAAGTATTTGGTTTGTTAAAAGGGTCCCGCGCCCCGCGTTTGACCCGCGTCGCAAAGTCCTTAGTAATAAGGCAGTATTTTATCCTTGCTTCCTCTCGCCCTCCTTCCCCCTCCTTCCAATTCCTGACTTTTTTTTTTTACCCCCTAGAGTAGCAGCCACGGAGCATGGGGTGAGAAGTCGCTGGAAGGACAAGTTGACAGATAGGACTTGGGTCGCTGGGTCACTGCGAGGCGTCGTGATCTGGACTCAGACAGAGCGATTTCCTCGGTGATTTTAATCTTTTCGTCTGTTCACACGTCATGCCACCTGGACATAATGCAGAGAAATCTGGAGGCTTAACAAAGTTTTCCCCTTGCCCTAAAGCTCACCCAGGGAATAGGGGAGGAGGGAAGAAAGAGAATTAACCCTTTCCCTGCCTTCCTCAGTCAGGGTAGCAAACCTGGCCTCACCTTCCTGACAATTCCAGGTCTCTGAATAATGAGGTCCTTGTCTTTATGGACTCTGTAAATAATTTAAGTTGCCCCCTTTGCTGCCGAAGGAACATGTAAGTGGAGGCTTTATCGCTTTTGGGCTGACTCTCTGCCCAGATTTCGATTGACTTTCAAATCTCTTATTGTAGATTCTCAAAAAAAAAAAATTATTTTGGTGTTGGAGGTGGGGTGCAAGGAGAAAGGACGTTGAGGAAAAGGACTACCACAAAGGAAAATATTAATATCTTCTCCATCACTGTGGCCAAACAGTTTGCTTGTCTGACTTCCCCATAAGGTTTGAGCTATTTCTGACCGAGAGTGTTGATGCTTAGAATTAGCAGATTTCAATGAAGTGGATGTCAGCATTCCAGAAAAATGATTCCTCAGAATTTGTTGGAGCTAGGTATGAGGTAAGAGCTAAGAGAGAGCTGAGTGGGTCATGTGAGGAAGAGGTGCTCCTCTTCCAGGTCTCACCTGAGGATAGAGGTAGAAAGAGAAAGGCCACTGTGGGGATGCCTAAAATCTGGGCATTTACAGGAAAATGGCTGGACCGGGGACCATTCAGTGAAACAAGCCAGACTTGGAAAGAAAACCTCATTTTTTCTCTCATATGCAGAATCTGGATTTAATTTTATAGATACTTGTTTCTATATCTACCTACATGTTGAGGGGGGTCTCAGTGGAGGAGGCGGAACAAGAGAGGGAGTGAAATATATGTAACAGGAAAGCAGAAAAGGGGTTATTTAGGAGAGGAAGAGGAGGGTAATGTATACATGTGGGGGTCAGGGGGATGAGAACAATGTAATAATATGTATATAGGAAAAAATCCTAGTGAGACCTAATGTTCTTCACAAAAACATTACATGGCATTAAACGGTGGAGCAGCTCCTATCCATCTTCCCAAGAACGGCTACCATGCTTCTGGTCCCACACTTGTTAACTTGTCTTAGTTATCTACTTGGATGTCAGTGCCAGGCTATAAAATTCATAGAGAGTCTGTCTGTCCATCACATCCCCAATGTGTCTGAGTGATAGTGAAGTATTTAAAATATCCACTTATTTACCCAGCATGGTCTGAGCACCTACCATTGCCAGGTACAAACCAGACAAAAAAGGATGAAATGAGCAGAAAATTAGGATCTACATTCCCAAGTTGCTCCCATCCTCATAGGGGAGACGGACAAGAAAAAGAAGATAAGAACAGTAAATTTGTCTGCAGATGCAATCGTGGTGCATAAGCTCCCAGGGGAATATGGAGGAGCCTATTCTACTGGAAAGACTAGGAATGAACTAAGAAGGCATGCAGTATAAACTGGAACCCATGCAAGCCTGTCAAGAAAACACCACAGCAGCATCTGATCAGAGGCAGTACCCTCTCCAAGGGTGAGAGGGGACAGTCTGGAGAAGAGGGGGAAAGGCTCCCCAGAGCTTGCCATCACAGTATACAGCCCCGGGGGATTAGAAGGGAGAAATTCCCTCCTTGTTCCTGGCATTAGCGATTGAGTTCTTATTGGTATGATGCACCAATGTGGAGAAAGTAAGAAAGAAAGGAGGCCATATTAGACGCCATGGTGTTCTGGATGTGTTAATTATTCACAGTTACCAATTTAACACTGCTGGCTTAAGTTGTTCCCATTGCTTGGCTTTGAGTAGATGATGCTTATCGTGCAGCCAATTGACATAACTACATTTAATTAAGGTGGACCTGGAAGTGTGGCTCAAGTTCTGATACTGAAAGTCTTCTACTTTGCAGTGTGTCACCTCTGCGTGGAGCACAGGTGAATGTCCCTCTCCCAGCATGGACCGCATGGGTCATGAGATATGAATGAGATCACGTAGCTAAAGGCTACTCAGAAGTGGGTAGTGAGATAGTGCTATGGGATGTCCTTCCGTACGCTGTGCTTATGTGTTGCTCTCATTGGTTGATGAATAAAGCTGCTTTGGCCTATGGCAAGGCAGGTGGGAAATCCAGGCAGAGGTACAGAACAAAACGGGTAAAGTCTGGCAGACACCATCCACCTGCCCAAGGAGCAAAATGCCAGTAGCCCGATAACTCCACAGCCATGTGGCAGTACATAGGTTAATAGAAATGGGTTAATTTAAGTTGTAATTGCCTGAGCCATTGGCCAAACACTTAAAATTAATATTAAGCCTCTGAATGATCATTTTATAAGCGGCTGTGGGACCAGGTGGGATGCAGAAAAGCCTCTGGCTACAAGATAGGGCAAATCCACAAGTCCTTCCAGGCCAAGGATTTGGAGGGTACTTTACTACAGTGGTTCTCAACCTTCCTAATGCTGTGACCCTTTAATACAGTTTCTCATGCTGTGGTGACCCCCAGCCGTAAAATTATTTTTGTTACTACCTCATAACCTAATTTTGTTAGTTATGTATCATAACATAAATATTTTTGGAGATAGAGGTGTGTCGAGACCCACAGGTTGAGAACCACTTCCTTAGCCCTTGAAGCAGGCCTGACAGAAGGCTAATGAAAATTAAAAACACCCACCAAATTGGAGTTAGCAGACATGACTCGTGAAAACACTTCTCTGATGAGATTGGCCAAGTGGTATAGCTCTGAGGAAAGCCATCAGCTACATCTGCAAGGAGCTTTCCAGAAAGAGGAAAACTACAATTAGTTCCTCAGTCACGTGACTCCAGCTTGCACAGGTGGTAGCCCTAGGTCTTGGCCACATTCCAGTTTGGGTACTTCCATTCCTCTTCTCATTATTCTGGCTTCAGCTCCACTGGGAACATCGCTTTCTTTTCCTGTCCTACATTTGGAAGCTGCCATAGCTAGGAGAGAGGCTATCCTGAGTGCATTTTCCCCCTGTTTTCTAATGAGACGATTTTTCTTGTCTAGACAAGGAAAATTAAGGAGACCGACTTCTAGACCGACTTCCAGATAGCTAGCTTATTTTTAGAATCTAGCCCCTAGACCTTTCCTCACTAACCAGGTAAATTAGTGAATCGTAAACCATAATAACTGTGGAAACTGGTCTGTGGAGACTACAAAAGCAGGGAGGGAATTGCTAGCCTTTCAGGCAGACCACAGAAACTCTGAAGTGACCAGGCCACAATGGAGAGCATGAAAACTGAAGACCTACAGATCTAAATACCACGTTATTTGAAAAGTGAAACACTGAGTAAACAAACACATTGTTTGCAGGTCAACAATCTTAGTCCCTAATAGTTGAAATCTTAAATTTGACAGACTAGGAGTAAGTAGGTAGGACTTTGAGAGATGGAGTCTATAGAGTGAGCTGAAGACCAACCTGCATAAGGAGCTACCCCCGGCCTTGGACCAACCCTGTGCTTTCTGTTCCTGGTTGCTTCCTCTTCTGGCTTGGAAAACTTGCATTATGAAATCATGGTTTCTTTGCTTTCCCAACAAGCTTCTCCTCTATCTCTTAGGACAAAGTCTGTTATCTACACTCAGTAGAATGCTGAGACTTTGAATTCAAAAAACCTGAGACCTGGGGAGAAAGCTTAGTGGGTAAAGGGTGTATCGTCAAGCAGAACATGAGTTAGATTCCCCTGAACCCACATCGAAACCCACACTAGGTATGAGTCTGGTCCTGATCCTTCCCCTGAGTGGTAGAGAGACCCTAGAAAGGAAAGAACCTTTGTTTGGTAACAAACCGGAGGCTGCTAACTTAATTCAATCTAAAATGTTTAATGACATTCAAATTTAAAATCTAGAATTTAAAATTGGCAAATAAGAAAGTGCATTAACTCTAGGATACTACTCTCTTGGACACTAGCACCACCACCTCCAGTTATTACAATGCTGTTTTCTGCAAGTGAGACTCTTCCTACCCCAAACACAGTTGATGAGGCAAACCAGCACCCAAGTGAGAAGCTCGGGCTTCTGAAAATGGAATTAGTTCTGATTAGGGTCATTTTGGAAATAGTGGCATACGCAAATTGTTTAAGAATGCTAGGCTTAGACCTTTTGGGATTAAAAACTTGCTCTGTCTGTAACTTAGATAATGGGCAAGGCTTAGCTTCCTAACCTGTAAAGTGGGAAAGTAACAAGTGTTTCCCTGGCAGGGCCCATGGCTGTAACTAGGATGAGGTCAAAGTTCCGGTGACAACTAAGTATTCAGGTGGCTCCAGCGAGGAGCTCCCTTGTCTCTCTAAGTCTTTGAGGACCTGCAGGTATACTTTGGAGGACTTCATCACTTCTCTCATGGGAAACAACTTTCTTTGTTACCTGTTTTGCTAACTCTAAGATCCCAACACTGAAAACATTGCTCTGACTAGCAAGTGCATTTCCTTGATATTACCAGTAGGACTATTAACTCTGGTGGCCCCCTAACTAAAACTATTCTAAATGAGAATAAAAGGCATGTAGAAGCTGGAGGTATGAATTCATTATACACTCTGAGTTTTCAAAAGTGTTTTGTGTCCTAAATGAATGACAGGTGAGAAAACCTCCTTGCCCACATTTTCCACAAATGGAAAATTTTGAGTGACAGCTCTGTGTTGATAATTCAACTTTTAGTGGAGTTCCCAAAGGATTTCCTGTTTGGGCATGTAGAGACTTCCTTCCAACATAATGACACAATTGGAAGTGACAGAACTCAACCATGTGACAGGGAGGGAATTGGGATGAGGTCACATAAAGAAGCCATGTTCACCTGGGAAAAGGATACAAGGGCTCTTGCATCATCTCTTTGCCCCAATTTCCCGAGTCTTCAACTCTTTCACTTGCAATAGTATTTGGTTCACAAACTTTGGCATTCACCTAGAGAGTAAATCATTTGTACCTTTGAATTTCAAAGGAAGCTCCTTGCTCTAGTATTGTAGTTGTTCTCTGGTTGGGGTTTGAGCCCAAATGAGAAATTCCCACCCTGATGATAGCAACAGGGTCTATACCATTCTGTAATCTCAAGCAGAACAACCCTGGCAAGAGGAGTCCCTGAGCAGGGGCGAAAGAACTCTGTAACTTGAACACCTCCCAGCTCAATAGCCAAATCTGATAACTAAAATAAGAACTAAGGAATTTGACTCAATTACCTAAGGTAGATGTCATCAAATTATGGCTCACAAGTCAAATCCAGCCTGTTGCCTCTTTTGATAATTAAAGTTTTATTGGAAAAGTACTAACACTCATTTATGTATTATCTCTGTCAGTTTCATCCTACAATAGCTAATAGAGATGCTGCAGCAAAGACCATGTGACATTAAAGCATGAAACACTTTCTGTCTTATACTCTAAGGGAAAAATGTGTTGACTCTTGACCTAAAGCCACTCCAACAGGCAGAAAACCTGGAAGTCCCAAGAACATCGTCTTAATCCCGATCTATGAATTTACCTCTTGCATCACACACCAACATACAAAAATAGCAAGGAAATGGAAAAAATACAACATGCATAAATACTTGGAGCTCTGCAAATAAAAGAGTTGACTAAACCTGAATATTTCTACTGTTTTTATTGCTTCTCTAATCAATACCAGAGGACTCATGTAAAGCTGGCAGACCTAAACTGAACTTTAACCAGGGCAGATAATTGGAGATAAACTCTGTAGTTCACTCCTGTTCTCCATGGCCTTTGATCTGCATGTCTAGATAGTTGCACTCTGCTCATCACACTTGCTATTGTTATGTGTTCTCTTTCGTGTGCCTTTTGGAGAAAAGGGGGAAAAAAGCCCTGTTTAAGGATCATTCAGCATCTTAATAAGTGCTTCATGAAGATTAAGTAGCAAGGGCATTTAAAGAACAAACCACAGCCAGCGAACTTCATAGCCTCTTACAGTGAAATTTCAAATTAGCAGATGAAAGGGAAGCAAGGATCTTATATCTCTGCCGTTTTGTAAAAACACTTGAGACAGGATCACTCACAAAATGCAAGTGGCAAAGTCATTTTCCATCAGCCTTTGCCAACTCAAAGGGACTTCAATATTTCCATCTAGACTGAAGGAAGAAGGATGATAAAGGACAGCCAGAAGAATTTGGGCATAGAGGTGGCACTTCTGTGGTTAGTAAATGATATCAGCGTTGACCTTGAGCAGAGCACACTAAGGTCATGATCATCAAATATGTGGAAAATGCTCAAATTTATAACAAAATCTTATGGAAGGTCAAGTAAATAGGAAAAAGGAATTAAATAAAGGCAGATATATGGACCTAGTGACAGTAAATGACAACCCCCAGAGACAAATAAGTAACCAAAAGCTGACCATTAAAACAGCTCTTCCAATTTCAGACATTAAAACTGACTGAGCAGCCAAAATATTCAACCAGAAGTTCAAGTTACTGTGATGGCATATGGAAAATTTAGGGGCACTTATCCCGATTCCAACAGTGAAGATGAAAAGTTGTGATGAGAATATCAGGTTTGCAGTTTAACACTAAAAGATGGCCGTTCATTTATGTATGCATGCATTCATTCATTCACACATGCAAAAACAATTTGCACCAAGTGCCTATTTTATGTTAAATACTAAAGAACAGAGCAAGCATGAATCCTACCCTCATGGAGCTCCCTTTTCTCTTTCTTTCTCCCCAGCCCCCACAAATACTTCTTCAGGAGCTGATTAGCACTACAAAGTAAAGAAAGCAAAAAAATGCAACATACAATAATCAAGGAGGAACAGACATGCTATGCTACACTGGATGGCAGTTGAGGTTCTGAGAAATAGAATTTGATTGGAGAAAGGATGGCCAGGCAGAGGAACAAAGGGCAACGATCCTAAAGTAAGGATGCACCTGACATTTGGGGACCAGAAGGAGGAACATGAAGGACAGAAAGAAGGAGCCTGGGAGCCAAGGTAGGCAGGTAGCCACAAAAGACAATAGTAGCTTATAGGTTGGGAAAGGGATTTGTGTTGTATGCTTATTAAAATGAGGAACTTTCTTTAAAAGACTCTGGTTGTCCTGGGCAGCCTAATAGAAGGCTGAAGGCCAGTTGGGATGTTACTACACATTATGAGAGGCATAATGATCTAGGGACTGGTAGATGCAAGCCATGGTAAAATGAGTGGATTGCAGGATCATTTGGACATGTATCCGCAGGGTGTTATCACTGGCGTGGATGCAGGAAAGAGAGGTAAA